AACTTAAAACAAATGAAGGGTCAAATTTCATTTAAGAGAGAAAACATGGGTGCCATTTAAGTTTGAGGTTAAATGCTTCAATTTAGTAGGGTTTTTATTGCCAAAAACGTGTATGGCCCTTTGAGAAAATAATTGATGAAAATAAATATTTGAATTCTAGAGAAAAATGAGAATTTTTCATTTTAGGTAGTTTCGGTCGACTGGTTGTAGTCCGGTTGACACTGCACAGCTTTCAGTATTTCTATCATAACTTCTTCTCCCGATAACCGATTAAGGTAATTCAAAGTGCGTTGTAAAGCTAACTCAAAGAGTTACAACTTATATTGAGATATCATTTTCCAAATCGAATGTTTCCTATGTCGAAAATGGGTCTCAAATAAGACTAAAAATCTGAAGTATACTTTAGTCATCCAATATTCATATCTTAGTGCCACTAAGGTGTCTAGAATTATTTAGGGTTCTACAACCCTGGTCGAAGGTACATTTCAGGGTTTCTAGTAGGATTCTGCTCTCCGGTGATTTGGGTCTTTGCCGGCGAATCTTTGGTCAGCGATTTGAACTCTGCCCGCTCGACCTCTTCCGATTTCATAGTCCTCTGTAGGTTGGGTAGACTCGTTAAGTTTTCTAGTTAGGTTTGCTTTGGATTTTGGTGCGGTGTGTGTGATTTTGCTATGAATTTTGGCTGCCTGTGCGTGATTATTGGAGAAGAGATTGGGCGTATAATCATTGACTTATAGCTTATTGGGTTTTTATTGGGCCTAAGTTATTCTAGAGGTTGGACTACTACTTTAAGTTGGGCTCACATTATAGTGCCGCTATTGGGTAGATTTTATTTGGGCAAATTGCGTTCTCAGTTGGGTCTTTGGCAGTAAATCTCCATTGATTTGGGATATTTCCTTGGGCTCTAAGCAGATTAGTTTTATTTTTCTTTTTGGTTGAACTGGTTACTTTGTTTGGGCTGTATCTTGATTGAGCTTAAATATTGTCGAATTTATAATATTATTAAGTTGCTGAAAGTGATAAGAAAATGGTGATTAAAATCTCTAGTACTGGTTCTCGTGGTTGTTATTATTGTGGAGAACAAGGACATGTGAAAAGAAACTGTTGGAAATTGAATGACAAACCAACGAAGAACACAAGTTAGACTCCTGTGTGAGGTAATTTGCCAATGTTGCTACTCAGGATGGTCTTTTATCTACACTTCCATCTCAGCATCAAATTACCATTCCACGCCTTACACAGTTTTACGCTTCTCAACAGCCTGTTCCACCTTTCGCTTCCGCTTCCACGTTAGCCAGTACAGGTAATTCTGTAGCATGTTCATCTACCTCATCCCGCAATTGGGTCATTAGTTCCGGTGCCACGGATCATATGACTGGGAATACATGTATGCTTTCGTGATTTCAGTATTCTTCTAAATTACCATGTGTCACTTTAGCTAATGGCTCTACAACTCCTGTAATTGGATGCAACACTGCACATCCAACAAACTCTCTACTATTGTCTTTTGTTTTATGTTTATCTCTATTTCCTTTAAATCTTTTATCTGTAGTCAAATTACTAAATCTCTTAATTGTAGTGTTCTTTTCTTTTCTTTTCTAGGGCTTGAGCTCTATGGCTTTTATGTGCTAGACTCTTTTCCTACACAGGTACCAAGGTCGATTGCATGCACTAATACTTATTCTCTTCTGTAGCTCCATTGTCATTTCAATCATCCCTCCGTTCCTATTTTGAAGAAATTATGCCCTAGTCTTAGTCAGATGTCTCAATTAAATTGTGAGTCGTATCAATTAACAAAATACCACATGGTGCCATATTTCTCTAGACTGAATAAACGAGCTGCGTCCCCTTTTGATCTAATACATTATGATATTTGGGGTCCTTGTCCTATTTTATCCAAGATCGGGTTTCGCTATTTTGTTACATTTGTGGATAATCATTCTCGAGTTACTTTGTTATATCTTATGAAAAATCGTTCTGAACTATTCTCAATTTTTTGTACCTTCTATGCTCAGATTAAAATTCAATTTGATAAATCTATCCGTATCTTAAAGAGTGATAATGATAAAGAATATTTCTCCTCCACGTTTACTTCCTTTCTGTCACAAAATGGCATTCTTCATCAATCTTTATGTATTGTTACTCCGCAACAAAATGACGTAACGGAAAGAAAAAATCGTCATTTGTTGGAAGTTCCACGAGTTCTCCTTTTTCATATGAGAGTTTCAAAAGAATTTTGGGCAAATGCATTTTCTACTGCATGTTACTTAATCAATCGTATGCCTTTCTCTGTCGTAGATGGTAAGATCCCTTTTCCATTATGTTTGCATCTCATACTTTTCTCTCTCTTTCTCCTAGAGTATTTGGATGTACTTGCTTTGTCCAAGATGTGAGACCTTAAGTTTCCAAACTCGATCCTAGATACCTTAAGTGTATATTTTTGGGCTATTCTTGACATCAAAAGGTTATCGATGTTTTTCTTCTGCTTTAGGACGATACTTAGTGTCTGCTGAAGTTAACTTTTTCGAGTCCACACCTTTTTCCAATACTACTGTGTCTTCTGCTCCATTTTCTATTGAGTTTGAGGATGATTTCCTTTCTTACACTGTGACTATACTTGTGGTACCAGTATCTTCTTGTCCTCCTATTCGAAGTGTTAACACTCATTGTATTCAGAAATCTCTGGTGACACCTGCTATTGACCATGACTTGCAGCTTCTACCTGCTGCTTCGCCTCAAGATTTGTCGTCCCCTCCTGATCCTACTCTTAATCTTCCCATTGCTCTCCGAAAAAGTAAACGATCATGTACTTATCCTATCTCTTATTTTGTTTCTTACCATGCATTGTCACCATCTTCCAAGTCCTTCATTACTTCCTTGGAGCATGTGTCCATACCAAAATCTATGTCCGAGGCTTTGTCCCATAGTGGCTGGCAAGCAGCCATGCAAGAAGAAATGATGGCACTGGAACACAATCACACATGGGACTTAGTTCTTTTACCCCTTAATAAACAGGCAATCGGGTACAAATGGGTATTTACTGTTAAGATGAATCCTGATGGATCTGTTCCTCAGTTTAAGGCTCGTTTGGTTGTAAGGTATATGCTCAAACTTATGGTGTGAATTACTCTAAAACTTTCTCTCCCGTCGCTAAGCTAGCCTCTATTCGATTATTCATTTCTCTTACTACTACATATCATAGGCTGCTTCGCCAATTGGATGTTAAAAATGCATTCCTCCATGGTGATTTGTTTGAAGAAGTTTACATAGAGCAACCACCTGGGTTTGTTGCTCAGGAAGAGTCAGGAAAGGTACGCAAACTACAAAAGTCATTGTATGGTCTGAAACAATCACCCGTTCCTGGTTTGGAAGATTTAGTGAAGTTGTGACAGAATTTGGCTTGCAAAGAAGCGTATATGATCATTCAGTATTCTTTAAACAATCTACAGCTAGATGTATTTTGTTAGTGGTAAATATTGATGCTATTATGATTACTGGTAGTGATAGTAGTAGCATAAGTATGTTGAAGACTTTCTTAGGCACAAGATTTCAGACAAAGGAGTTAGGTCCTTTGAAATATTTTTTAGGGATAGAGATCTTTTGAAGTGATAAAGTAATTTTTCTATCTCAAAGGAAATATGCTATAGACCTACTAGATGAGACAGGACTAGTTGAAGCAAAACCTAGTGATGCTCCCATGATACCAAATGTGAAACTCGGAGCAGAAGATGGAGATGTGTTTGCTGAAGCCGACAAGTACAGGATGGTAGTGGGAAAGTTGAATTGTCTCACAATTACTCGTTTAGATATTGCCTTTTCCTGTAAGTGTTGTTAGCCAGTTTATGTCATCTCCTAGAACCTTACATTTGGATGCTATAACTCATATACTAAAATATCTTAAAGGAGCTCTAGGACGTGGGATTCTCTATAAAGACCATGGTCATTGTAGAGTTAAGGGTTTCTCGGATGTTGACTGGGTAGGTTCTCCCGTAGATAGGGTATCTACTATAGGGTATTGTGTTTTCGTTGGAGGTAATCTAGTTTCTTTGAAAAGTAAGAAACAAAGTGTTGTAGCTCGATCAAGTGTAGAATCTGAATATCAGGTTATGGCACATGTGACTTGTGAACTTATGTGGCTATATCATTTACTTGGAGAGATTGGCATCGATAAGTTCCAATCTATGAACTTGTGGTATGATAATTAAGCAGCTATTCACATTGTCCCTAAACCAGTATTTCATGAGAGAACAAAGCACATAGAGGCAGGCCGTCATTTTGTTCGTAAAAAGCTACAACAAGGACTGATTTCAATTAAGCAAGTCAAGATAGGAGATTAGTTAGCTGATATGTTCACTAAGGCCTTAGCTGGGTATCGAGTAAACTATATTTGTAATAAGTTGGGCATGATTGATATCTATGCTCCAGTTTGAGGGGGAGTGTTATGAGATTGTATGCTAGGAATTTTTACTTATTTAATAGATTAATATACAGTAGGTGCATAAATCTAGGATTATTTCCTAATTGGAAATAACCTCTGTATGTATATATGTAACCCATTTATGAATCAATGAAATATGTATTCTCTCCAAATCAACATTGGAAAATTTTTAAATACCCTCAGTTTAAAAGAGAGGCGTGGAATTCAAGTATTTCCCTCTCAAATAACCATTTCCTATTTTGCTCAAAGTTCGACCATCGAAATCAATGAATTTAGGAGGTGAAAAATCTGGTTAGGTAAGAGAATTTATCTATCTAATTTCTATCGTCAAAAGTCGAGATGGTACTGGTGTTAGCATATTGTTAATTATCAAGTGTTTATCATCATCAATCCTCACTCTAATTAACTTCTTAACAAATGGTGTGTTTGGCAATGTGTTTTACGTCGAGTGTTTATGATCATTAATCTAAACTCTAATATTAAAAATCTTTATCATCAGTTAACATTCAAAGAACAAATAAAATATTCCAATCCCAACACACATGCACATAAACACAATAGAGCTGTCAAATCCAGAATATTATAGCTTGTGTGTACAATAAAGTTTCACAATAAATTTTTGAAAAAAGTACAAGAAAATGAAAGCCAAAAGTTACACTCCCTCTTTCTTTCATAATTTATTGAAGTGTCACAAAGTTCCTACAATTTGCAAAAGCCGCCCACTCCATAGAGTACCAAAAATGGGGGAGTCAGAGAGTTCCCTGCATGGATTTCTAATATACTTTGTACCTGTACGGCAACCAATATTTAGGTACTTAACTACCTGATAGCAACCTCTGCCAAGGTAGAAAAGAGGGCAAACAGTAGGTCGATTCGATTCGATTCGACTGACGCTTGTCATGTGCCATGAAAGAATACTTATCCTGAATGGGCGGAATATGAAATGGACTGACAAAGACGTATCTGTGCTTAATACGCAGTAGTGGACACAATGAGTAAGATAAGTGATATATGGTATTTTAACTTAGTATGCTTTGAGTCGTTTCAATGATTTGATAAAGTGGTGGTGGCACGGCGATTGACATGAAATCCATGTCATCCTTGCATAGAAAGCGGCCCACGATCCTGGTGGCGGGCCTGGCTACAAGCATCTCCCAAGCTTCATCTGATTCCAAGCCCCTTTTGAGGAAGGCTTCGGTTGCATCCAAATTATACATGTGCCACTCCAATTGATTTCGAAGCTTAACGATGTTTTGTAGTTGGTTAGAAGCCAATTTGCAGTTGTTTGCCTTAATTTTATCAATAGCATCTTCAAGGAGCCTAGCCCTTGCCTCATAGTCAAGAATTGACTCGTTTTGAAAAAATTCATGTAATTCTGGTACTCCAATAGCACGTTTGATCCCTCGTGTATAATTCCCTTCAGGGTCGAAGAAATCTCTTGCTTCATTGATCAAACTAGTGTCCACCATTCGATCGACTCTTTTGGACAAAAATGAGTGAAGGACGGCCATTGATACGTTGACCCATAGGAAGCAGCATTCGTACTTCGACTGGAATTCCATGTCATCATTCACCAAAGCCTTGATGTAAGAATTAGACCCTCCAGCAATGATAGGCAACTTACCCCTCCTCGTAATCGAATCAACGGCAGTTGACGCATGATGCACGAAATCGACGGCTGCGAAGTCTGCATCAGGATCCACTATTCCCAACAAATGGTGAGGGATTCCCCTACATTCCTCTTCTGTCACTTTATTGGTTACTATATTTAAGCCTTTGTAAACTTGCATTTTATCCGAATTCACAATCTCGGCCTCGAAACGTGTGGCTAGATCGATCGAAAGTCTTGATTTTCCGGTGCCGGTGGCTCCCATTACTATCACCACCTTGTCCTTCCGGCGCCGTCCCGGAATAAATTGATCCATGTTTAACCCCCCGGGAAAATTCACCTGCAGGGGCTGTGCTGGCTTGCAGGCTGAAAATGAGATCCTCATATATATATAATTTATTACTCCTGTTTCATATACAAAAGTAGCTAATTGAGTCAAACATTATGGAAAAATTAAGAAAGAAAGAAAACTAGCTGTCAGGAATTTTTCTTTCCAGCATGCACTAGCACAAGAATATAATATCTTTGTCCTCGATGCGCATTAGATTTTAATTTATTTTCCAATTTTTACATTGTACAGCACCTCTAACCAACCATGCCGAAGCATAACAATATAGTATCTGGATAGGCATGTTTGGGTGTATGACAAATATAATGAACAAGATTTTTACTTTTTTTGAATCTTGGTAATGTATAGTACTATTTCTCTATATGTGTGCGCGTGTATACCTCTATGCTTGAGATGATGCGGCAAACTGCAGCAGAAAAACGAGCAAGATATTTGTCCGGTTCTCTTCTTCGAAAAAGGTTTTGGAGGAAGAGGGAATAAGTACAAATTAAGTTGGGGCAGACATTATAAAGCAAACATGTGTGTTTCGTATGTAAATATGCAGAAAACTCTCCTATATATATACACGAGTTGGGAGAATCTGGAAAAGAGAAATTATTTGAAAGAAAGTGACAGATGAAAATGACTAGACTGATATGTCCCATCTTCCTCTTCGGAGCTAATTCACCTTTTGTGCCCCCATTATTTGTGAATAATATATTATTGAATAGTAATTGATATTGAAATGTGTAATTTAAAAAAAAAATTTATTTACGTGTAATATTATTTTATTAAAAAATATGTGATTAAAAATGAGTGCTATAGAAAAAATAATATTATAGAATGATAGACAAACGAAGGCAATGTGATGACTATTATTTATGCAGGTGGAGAAGTGGGAGCCATGCATATATTCAATATAAAAATTCTATTCTGTGAATGTCATTTGAATAGACCCTAACTAGAATATCTCTCATAGAAGGGTCTACTTTTTTTAATGCCCAAAAAAAATACTCACTCCCCTTTGAAGGTGAGGAGTCTGGCCAAGTCTGTTCAAATGACATTGGCATAATAGCATGACTGCTCATTTCGATAACAAAGAATATAGATGTGCAACACGCGTCATTGCACGATAATTTGTTTTGTCTATCCACAAATTACGTTGTACATATTACATCATGTTTTCTACTCGATCCTAGGTACATTTGTATTGCGTACAAATATTTCCTATATGGACATGGCAAAAATAAAGGTGCAATAAGGTAGAGTTCTGATTTTGAAATTACTTCGATTGATGTAGGATAATATTATTTAGCTATCATTTTACTATAAAAGGGACAAATTGCAAGATCTCTATTACCCAGATTTTTAAAATTATCAGAATGGCACAGAGTTGGAATCTCTTTAAGTAGAGTGGGATCCAATCTTCAACATAATTATTTAAGCGATTATTGTTGGAATGCAGAATCGGAATTATTCAAAAATAAAAAATTTCTTTAATTTAAAAATAATATCGTCTAAATGTACACGTCTATGTTATATCAAAAATAAAGAATTCGAATTTTTACCTAAATTTGATAATCAATTCTTGAATAATTCTGAATCACGAATTTCCAACTTTTTGCATCACGAACTTTTAGTCTTTTAATTCCAAAAACTTAATGCTTCAAACTTTCAAGTCTTCTATTGTATTCTCCAAAGTCAAAACTGCACCGGTGGGTGGACACCTTCTTTTAATTAAATGAAGAAACCAATTTTTGAATCGGACAATTGAAAAAATCAAGAAAAATAATTTTTTTTCTCTCTCCAAAATTTGAACACCATAGAATTACGTATTATGAATATTGTACAATATCATTCCATAGAATGTTTGTGTTCCATCTATTCTCTATTTATAGATATATAAGAGTTTCAATTCGTATACAATAAAAATTCTACATTTAAATAGGAGTTCTAATTGAAGTTCAAATCTAATTAGTTTACATTTAATTACATGTGTAGTCCTAAAACTTCAATTACAATTATAATTATGTTTACAACTTTCGTACTAAGTACAAAACTTTATTGTAATGACAATTAAGTCCAAAATTATTATAATTACCGTAATTAAGTTTCAATATTTTATGGAGCTACCATAGGGACCTGATCGGACATATATTATCCTAGCTCCTATAATTAGATGATGTCTAGTCGGCCCTAAACCACCCAATCTAATTATTAATCTTTATTTTTTTTAATAAAAGTAAAAGATTGAACTATCGGAATATATAAGATGACAGAAGCCAATAAATCTGTAATACTTTTCTTTGATCGGCTGTATATGTATTTTATCTTTGTCCGAGATCCAATGATTAGGTACAAGCATGAATGACCGTTTTGCTCCTCTAATTATTCTCAATAACTTAAGTTTCATTTTTTTTAACGGTCCTGTGAACTAATAACAGATGTTACTAAATACTGAGCTCAAATTTTAACCGTTCAACAGAAAATACTTAAATAATCTCTCTAATCATATTTTTGGGCGATGGTTCCCAACACGAATTCATGTTCTCAAATCTGTTCATTCTCAAATTCCCAACTCATCGAGAGATTTGATTAATCAAATTGATCTCACCCATGATGAATCAAAGAGCCATTAAAATCACGAAAAGATATACATAATCCTGTCAAGGGATTTAAATGAAATACACAGTGGTCTAGTGGAATTTAATTCTCTACATGGTCATGCTATAGAATTGAATTAGACACACGGTTCACTCAATACACTCCAAGTGTATTAGTGTCACCATTAACTATTTATATGATAAGAACAAATCACAAACCCAAATAGTGAGTTAGTCAACACTATGAACTTTCAGTACAAGGTGCCAACCATTATACATTGGTTGTAAACAAATTATTTATGATCAAAATATAAGTTATATCACACTGTACTTCTCAACGCAAGTACCCAACTTATATTATTTCAAGTGATCATAAATATTTTAATTTGCATGTTCAATAATATAAAATAAAACAAAATAATAAAACCACAATTAATTTATTATGAATGATTATTTTATCATAGCAAGATGTACTATATATACAGCCCAACAATTATATGTGTTTGTATAATGAATTCACGATTTGTCAAATAATTAACACATATATTGAGGGTTCTAATAGGAATCCCTTTCAACCCTTTAATTTTTGTTAATTAACTCTTAACTTTTCTTAAATTGTAAGTATCTTGCAATAAATAATAGCAGTACTGTTCACATTTTGCACTGGTTGGGGACAAGTTGTTTTCCCAAAATGATTATTCTATTTGTACATAAAAAATGTACATAAAGGATTACATAAAATGATGTAGAGAGAAAAGATTAAATGAAAAAATTGATTGTATTTTAAACTAGCAAATGATAGCATGACATGTAGCATTATGTAACCAATTATGTAAAACTTAATGTACATGTAGAAAAGTCCTCAAAAACAGTGGCAAAAAAAAAAAAAAAAGGAAAAATTGCAGCAACTGTTCCTAACCTTTTGAATTTAATTAGAAGCTAATAAAATGGTAACCTGTGGAAAAGCTGTTCAATTATGATTCAGCCAAATATTATAATAAAAGGATAAGGAATCAAGTGTAATGTATTTTTATAGATTTTACCATAACCTTCAATTTATGCTAGTGAAGGTCTCTAACATTTGAAAATTTTGCAAGTGAGGTGCAAATGGAAACCATCCATTTGATCATTAATTGACCCAAAAAAAATAATAATAATAAATTAAAAAAAATTGATTTTTAACCAAATTAAAGGGGTAAAATGGTAACTTTGCATATTATCACTAAAATAACTTTAAAATCAAATAATAATAATAATAATAATAACAAAACTTCTCATTTTCCACACATCACTCCGCCAAGCCCCATCACCCGTGCCCAAACTAGAAAAACCATCGACCACCCAATCTGTCGGAACTTCATCCCCTAGCCAGTAGCCTCAATCTACAAACATATCCTACACAATTAACTGGACAAACAACAACATAAGAAGATCAAAATCAGATTGAAAACTCAAAGGAGTCGCACACCTTAACCCTTCAAATCGCTAAAGAGAATTAATTACTACAAAATCATGTAACACTAAATCAGGAAACCAAAAAGAGTTAAATTTAGTCCTCATTATCAATCCCTTGCAATTTGCTATATATTTTTAAATTCAAATAATATATTTGCTTATATAAAAAAAAAAAAAAAAAAACCCTTCAAATCGCTACCTACAGTCACACCCATGGTCACACCCCGTCGGGCTTACATTTATTGAATTGTGTATATATAATGGGTAAGGAATGACTCTATATAATTTGGCTTACATTTATTGAATTGTGTTTATTTGAATTTGCATGTTTTTCTTTTCGATTACTTGAATTGATTATTTTAATTGGTTGTTTGTATTAATTATGGACAAATTCTTTAAATGTAAACCTTTGTTTTCTTCCATTTTGATTATTTGTATCAATTATGAAACATTATTAAAATATGAAAAATACGTAGAGAACAATTATAATAAGATATTGAATGCTTTTATATTTTTCACAACATTTTTACGAGTTTGATTGTGTTCCTTTAATTTCAAATGTCTGCGTTTGTCACTGTGTTTATTTCCTTTTCTTTAATACATCACCATTATATCAAAATTTAATTAAGGAATTGAAGACCACACAATTAATTGTATAATTAAAAAAATTGTAAAGACAATTATGGTGATGGATTTATAATTAATGATTATAACATGCTTAGAAGTTCATTCCAAACCCAAAATTGATCTCTAATTTTATATCTATTGTGTCAATCATTAGTAGAGAATATTTTTAACAATATCTTGGAGTACCAACTTGAAAAATAACTAATAATATAAGCTTCACTAAATCTTAATTAATTAAATAATAGTCAAACCAAGAAAAAAGTAGTTGCTCAGGACAAAGATAATATGGTTAATTTAAGCGTGCAAGAAATCGTGATTCGCATAACATTAATGGAAGAACCACTAATCATAATTTAAACAATTTATAAATGGTTTAATTACATGAGCCATGTACTATACATATCATTCAATATTCAATTCTTACAAACAAAGCTTCTAATATCCATATCACAAGCTCTTGTTGAGGGTGATGTTTATATTTAGGTCTAAGCATTTGAATAGTCTTTACCATTATCAGGTGGACCAAAAATAGCGTCCTCAAAGTATTTGGTCGTACGTAAAAGCAGAATATTTATTTATTATTATTATTATTATTATTATTATTATTTTTGGTTGCATTTCTTAGCACTACTTTTCAGTAAGGCCATATATACCCAACAAATTGAAGTGTAGAATTTAATTGATATGAGACGTGTTACATAAATGTGGATAAAAAAATGAACATGACTTTGGGATATCATTCTAATTTAGTTTAATGTAAAGAAATCGAAAAACTAAAAGAGACGTGTCAAAAAATAATAATAAATAAATAAATAAATAAAATATATACATGACACTTCAATATCACATTACTAGTTCCGAAA